CGCAATATGTTTCTTGTCTATTTGCCAGCTTTGGCACTGCTCTACCCAGCACCAGCATGTGACATTTTCTATTTTCGGGGTGAGACGGTTATTTGTGCTCAGGTTCGCAACGAGTTCAACCAGCCTGAGAAATACGAAGCCCAGCGCGAATGCAATGATGAGCCCTTCGTTGTTTCCAGCGTTGCTGTCCATGTTTGCATGGAACTTTGTACCAGTGCTATTGTCCATTGGTGAGGAAGTCTTCTCCTTGTCGATGCCTAGCATGCTTGGTTTCTGGAACAGACCGGGCCAAAGGCACAATACGTTCCGAGCGTAAGTGGAAAATTGCCAGACATGATTTTGTTCTTACAAAGATGCGGAGTTAGTTCAACCAGTTGACTGCCCATGAGCTCGAAACCATGTTTCTGTGCTTGCGACAGGTCGAGATATCACCAACATATTGCCTGGGATCATTTTCTGACAATGTCATAGCAAAGCTTCGGTTCATCCATTTCTCAATGCGATGGAAAAGAGTTTGCTGCGGCAGCGCGCAGGAGAACAGCAGGCTCACCATGTGCCAAGCCGAAAATGTTTTGTAGTTGAGCGATTTGCTTGCGATGACGGAAATGCTTGACAACCTCCAAGTTTTGTCAACGATGGGCACATGGAATGGCTCTCATGGCCGGTGTTCCTTTGTTAAACGCACTTGTATAAGTTTCTTCCCATACCCATACTTCCCGTGGTTGAGCTCGTGGGGCCCGTTGTCCTGGAGGGTACGGGTGTGTGCTCAAAACTGTTACGCCGTTGTTTTGCAATCCTTTGAGTGCATGGGTACTTGTGAATATCTACGAACGTTACAACAGTTCTTGGATTTAGATCTTGGGAAGATTTCTCCGCTGGTGCTTGTATCAGCTCTTTTCCACATCAAAATCGCAAGGTTTGCGCATGAGAGGGTATCTTACATACACAAGAGTTAGAGCTATGCCACATACCACTCAGAAGGAGTTCACCCAAGTCCGGACCTGGGCGAACGCTTCCACAAATCCCAATGTAAACAACAGAATTGCGAGTAACTGTGGATGTGAAATGGCACGAAATGTCACAAATAAGCTCCAAAGAGACAGAAGGAAGGGGATGTTGAAGTGCTGCGGAAGAACAAGCGACACAGTCAGCTGAGGGAAAGGAAGTTTGTGAAATGGCCCTTCCACCCAAGGTCGCTTCCAAGTATCTGGCCTGCCTACCATGAACGGTCAGGAAGAAAACTGTTTGTGTACAACTTGTTTCTCGAATGTTCCAGGCGTGGCAACCTGGTTTGGACTGTTCCTGTGTTCATAAATTCTATAAGTTCAAGGTACTGCTGCCCAGTCGTGACCTTTCAAACAGCAAAAAATGAACAAAAATAATCCAGAGTCTTGGGTTCAGACCCAAGTGCTGAAATCTCTAGAAAGCACGCACACACGCATGACAAACACCGAATGATGGGGACGTATAAGGATAAAGTTGGGTCGAGACTGCTGTAGCTACTCATCAAGAAGAGTAGACATGAGCAAGTAGTTCAAAAAGCACACAAGTGAGCAGAACAGATACCCACCTGTTTTGATATTGTGCGGTTCGCAGGGCTTTCCCACGGGCTCTCAAACTTTTGCGACACATGTGCACTCGACAAACCCCGTCAACAGACACCAACATCACCATCATAACCACCACCAAAGCAAGATCTCAAGGGCCTACGTCCCCCCACCTGGCCCATCACAAACCTCCGAAACACAGTTACTGTAGGTTCCCCAAAAACCTAGGAACCAAATCAATTATGCCAGAAGCTTGGGCAGATAGTCACAATGTCCTGCTCGCCACTTTGCTAGGCTGCCACCTGTTTCCAAGCTGAGCCCAGCAGGTTCTTGAAGCTTCAGGAACTATCTCTTAATCAGCAGCTAGTAACAAGAAGCTACTAGGGGCGGAAGACATTGTGGTTGAGCGTTGAGGGTCAGATTCCCAATCTGCAGTTCCGACAACGAATCTGTTGCAGAGAAAGCTTAGAGTGGTCACAACAAAGTTTGCGCAGTCCTGAAGGGCATTGCAGATAATGTCAACCCCGGATTAATCAGCCCCCCCCCACATAGAAGGTCAACAAGGTCAAGAAGGTATGAGATACCACTCATGAGGTCCACTCCCCCTGAATTATCGGCTCAGGGAGCCATCGTAGTCGTAGTCGTCGACGGTAGTAGGTAGTAGGTAGGTAGTAGGTAGTAGTAGGTAGTAGGTAGTAGGTAGTAGTAGGTAGTAGGTAGTAGTAGGTAGTA